GAACCTGATGTTACTGTCCACAGAGTTGATGTGTTCTGTGAAGGCTTGAACTTCCTGGCTTTTGATTTTGACCCAGGTGTCGTCCACATATCTGTACCAGTGGCTCGGTGCTATTCCTCTGAAGGAGTTGAGGGCTTTATTCTCCACATCTTCCATGTAGATGTTGGCCACAATCGGGGATACCGGTGAGCCCATGGCACAGCCATGCTTCTGTCTGTAGAATCCACCGTTGTACTGGAAGTAGGTGGTGTTTAGACAGAGGTCGAGTAATTTGCAGATTTGGTCAGGGCTGAGGCTAGTTCTGTTGTCCAGGGTGTTGTCTTGTGTTAGCCGTTTCCTAACGGTTTCTACTGCCTCTATGGTGGGGATGCAGGTGAACAAAGAAGTCACATCATAGGATACCATGGTTTCATCTGGGTCCAGTTTTAGTCCTCGAACTTTGTTTACAAAGTCAATAGAGTTTTGAATGTGGTGAGGCGTGTTTCCCACCAATGGAGCTAAGATGGTGGAAATGTGTTTGGCAATGTTGTAGGTGACCGAGTTAATGCTGCTGATAATCGGCCTGAGTGGGGCTCCTTCTTTGTGTATCTTGGGTAGTCCATAAATGCATGGAATGGATTCTCCAGGATACAAACGGTAATATTGTTCACGGGTGATGGTGTTGTCCTTCTGTAACTGTTGTAGACATTCTATGGCCTTTTTCTTGTATCCGCTGGTTGGGTCTCGTCTCAGTGTCTCATACGTGTTTGTGTCCATTAGTAGTGTGTTGACTTTGTTCTGGTAGTCAGCTGTGTTAAGTACTACCGTGCATCTTCCTTTGTCCGCAGGTAGGATAGTGATGTTTTGATCCTTGCTCAGAGATGTCACAGCCAGGTGTCAAGGAAGCCATCTACACCAGGGTTGAGAAGCCGTCATTGAACAGGGGAGGGGGTCTACGCCACCACTTATCCCCCACTTACAATGCTGTCCTTTCATCACTTCCCAGGAAACTCAACAAACGTAACCCATTGGCCTCAGGTGAAGATACCAACGATGGTCGTTCAGTCTTGGCCACAGGTAGTCTCAACGACTGTAACGACTGTCGTCACAGCAACAAGGAACACTAACGAACCAGCGGTATCGATGACCCGGGCCAACGACCCCACTGAGGTTAAATAGCTGAGTTTCCCTGCCAGTCAGTCAGAACTGAAGAAGTCCTTTGGATAAGGGACGAAACGTCTTCCAGTATCTTCAACCAAGTCCAGTTGCCCTTCATTTTAACCCTCGTTGGATACTTTATATAAGTAATAAATTAATTTCTAAAGGAAGCTTAAGAACTCTACATTCCCATGCCAAATTCTTGTCAACCTTAATAGAGAAGTCATAGAAAGCATCCTGACTGGAAACTTCACCACCTGGCATGGGATGTGCACGGCCCAGGACAGGAGGGCTCCGCAGTGGGTGATTATAACCGCTAAGAAGATTATTGGTACCCATTCACACACACATTCATACAACGATGGCAGAGAAATAAATGCAAGGTGCCAACTGCTGATGAGAAAGAAACTAATACTCGTTCACACACACTCACACAACAATGGCACAGCCTTCTGAGCAAATACAGAGGGGGCATATATCTTCCATGTAGTGGACAACCGCTCTACATCTAAGCAACAGACATTGAAATATATATATATATATATATATAATATGTTACGAAAGATTTATTTTAATTCCACAGGTCCAGTGTGATGGTTGTGAACGGTGGTTCCATGCTCAGTGTGTGGAATGGACAGCACACAATATGAAGAGGCAATGGAAGGAAACTGGGAATGTCCGTTGTGTAAATAAAGTGTTTCTTTGAAATCTGCTCAATGCTGTGGAAGAAAATGACTGACTATGTGTGGTACAACTGCAGTTGTACAAGAGGTGTGTAATATGTGTAACAGGTAGTAGTACTATTCGGCATTGGTTTTGAGTCCCTGAATCATTTGAAATGGAATCTATTGAAGAAAAAAATATAAAAAAATATTCATATAAATTTTAATATGCACTCAAATCAAATATGAAGGGGTGTGTCTCATTTGCCTAGTCTAGTACTACAATTCGGAATTGGTTTGAAGTCCCTGTGTCACATGACTTGGAAGCTATTGAAAAAAAACAGCACTTTTTTTCAATAAATTATGAATAAATATTAATATAAATTTTAATATGTACTCAAATCAAATATGAAGGGGTGTGTCTCATTTGCCTAGTGTAGTACTACAATTCGGAATTGGTTTGAAGTCCCTGTGTCACATGACTTGGACGCTATTGAAAAAAAGGCATTATTTTACATAAATTATGAATAAATATTCATATAAAATAAAAGATGCACTCAAATGAAATATGAAGGGGTGTGTCTCATTTGCCTAGTCTAGTACTACAATTCGGCATTGGTTTGATGTCCCTGTGTCACATGACTTGGAAGCTATTGAAAAAAAAGGCATTATTTTACATAAATTATGAATAAATATTCATATAAAATAAAAAATGCACTCAAATCAAATATTAAGGGGTGTGTCTCATTTGCCTAGTCTAGTACTACAATTCAGCATTGGTTTGAAGTCCCTGTGTCACATGACTTGGACGCTATTGAAAAAAAAAGGCATTATTTTACATAAATTATGAATAAATATTCATATAAATTCGAATATGTACTCAAATCAAATATGAAGGGGTGTGTCTCATTTGCCTAGTATAGTACTACAATTCGGCATTGGTTTGAAATCCCTGTGTCACATGACTTGGAAGCTATTGAAAAAAAACAGCACTTTTTTCAATAAATTATGAATAAATATTCATATAAAAAAAAATGCACTCAAATCAAATATGAAGGGGTGTGTCTCATTTGCCTAGTATAGTACTACAATTCGGCATTGGTTTGAAGTCCCTGTGTCACATGAATTGGAAGCTATTGAAAAAAAACAGCACTTTTTTCAATAAATTATGAATAAATATTCATATAAAATAAAAAATGCACTCAAATCAAATATGAAGGGGTGTGTCTCATTTGTCTAGTATAGTACTACAATTCGGCATTGGTTTGAAGTCCCTGTGTCACATGACTTGGAAGCTATTGAAATAAATAATGATTTTCCCATAACACTGTTCTCACAATTGTAATTTATTGATGGTCCCTAAGCTAACCCCCGTTGGTTAAAAGCGAGCCATCAGAGGTGAGCTAACCGCACTTATACAACCGTCACTGGGTGAACTGACTAAAAAGCCGTCACTGGATCCTGGGCGAATGTCTGTCGAATATCCAACTTAAAACTAATTTCACCGCGGTGCTCTACCGCCCAAGAATGTTTTTTTTTTCCTGTAGTTCTTTCTGTCGCTAGTCCAGATCGGTCCAAATACAATTTGCTGTGATACGACTATAAAGACCAACAGACATCTTTCGGATTGTACCACAGATATAAAATGGATTTATTCTTCAGCTATGGGGAAGTGCAACCTCATCGGTTCTTGTGTGAAAAAAACAGATCTTAGGGCTTAAAACCAGTCTTTAGCAACGTATTTAAAAACTACTGTCGCTGCTTAATGAATGAGCACCTCTATTAAAATGTAACACGATCGTTAATGATTATCAGTAAGCTATGGTAACACTCAACGCATTACCTCGTCTACCTGACTTAGCAATTTGCATAGTGTGGAATTTATTTTAAACAATCTTTATTAGCTATCTTTATTATGATTCCATAAAACTCCACATTTAAAGCTCCCTTTTATATTATCTGCTGATGGAATAGAATTATGCAGTCGTTTTTTCCACAAAACACAGTAAAGAAGTAAAAGGACATTTTATTTAGTTCAAAGGACTTTGAGCAAGAGATTCACTTAACACCAAGAAATCTCATAGAGTGTTCAACATTATTGCAAAAAAGAATGAAAACAAATTATCAAAATTGTTGGTGGTTACTTATCTGATCAAGCAGTCAATTACTTTCAGTTTTATACAAGATGTGCCTTATTTTGTGTCCGTGAAATGTAGAAATGACAGATGTTTAAGGTTTTGATACTAATAAACGGAACTTGAATTGTAGTAATGGAGTTGTATTTGTATTTTTGAGGACTACTATCTGAAAATGGGCATTTTGTAAATTTTAAGTTGACTAGTAGTAATTTTGTTGACTGAGTTTCCATTAGTATTTGAGTCTAGCACAGTTACATTTATTGAGTAAAGAATGAGTGGAATTAAATTTTTATAAGCATCAGTGAATCAATGTAATTTAGTATGCAGAAATGAAATGTTTTAAAAAAAAATGTATCATACTATTTAAGTTAGAAAAAAAGTTAAGGTTAAAAGTTAGAGGTAATCAGTTTCCACAAATATTTTGAGGATTCTGAACTTATTCTGGTTTACAGTGTGGATTCACATCTGGGTATAGATCTAAGAATAGTTGGTGGTATATACATGACAGAGTGAAGTTACCCATCACTTCAAAATAGGGGTTAGCTGCATATTTACAGTGGCCTATGTGTTAAAAGGATGCAGCTCTGCAGCAGTTAGCACTCTTATGAGATCAGCACATGGCTCAGCTTCAGCAAAACAATCTTCTCTAAACATGTGATCTCTTCTTATCTCTTCTGAAGTACATTATAATAATCCCACACTGACAAATTCCCCCATCAAATAGCAGCTACACCATGATGGAAAGTACAGCTCAGTGTGATGACACCACTTCTGTGCATGTTAGGATTTAGCCTTGTGTGTGTTGCATTAAGGATTTCCTGCTGAGAGATAACTCAAGAACTGATGTCAGTGTACCAAGAGGGCCCAACCCACCACAGCTTATGGACATATTAATTTAACATGCTGTTTTACCGGGTTTAGTATTTGTACTGGATACCTTTTCTTTAAAAAAAATATGTTTGAGTCTTTTATTAACCTTTAACTGAAATATCTTTTGGCAGAAATAGTAACTGTTTTACTACAAAAAACAAACAAACAGGGTTGGCCTCTAAACTAGTCTTGTGTGACATATGCGGGCACATCAAATGAATACACTTTTCCTGTGTGTAAACAGCAGCCTGTGTCTGACATGACTAAGCAACCTCTCTGGCAGCGTGTTGAATGCTGGATTAACAGGCATTAACATCAAGCAAAGACTGTAATTGGATAAAGCTTGAGTGGAAAGAGCACAAGTTGACCACTCTCCCCACAGAGCACTTTATTTATTCCTGCCAGGCGGAGAGGCACCTTCAGTCTACTGGTAAGCGTCTTTGTTGTGATGGCCACTTTGGGCCTTTTAAAAATCTTTTTTGATTAGTTTAGATTATTTAACATGTGTCAGAGAATAACATGTTTGATATTGTTTGTATTGTTGATATAATAATTTAGTATAATTTAACTTTCATAACTGTATGGTCAGTTTGCTGTTACTGAGTATAATTGACTGGAAAAACTAAAAACTAAAAACAAAAAACTAAACTTCAGTTGAATTGAATATTTTATTAGTATCATATGTTTTTAGGATAGGATGTAATTATAGAGAATTTTAGTTTGATAAATTCATTTTTCGAACATTTGACACTTTATATATCTATTTAGAATTCATAATTCAAATACATTTATCTATAGATTATATCACTCTTTCTCTCATCTTTAGCACCTGCTAGAAACAACAGAATAGAGCTCACTGTACCAGCTACTTAAACCCATAATGAAATAAGTCAGTGAGTACATCCCTGTTTACTGTAAATCCCTGCTGGATGCCAACTTGTATAACTACTTGTGCGGCTGAACTGGGGCAGGGCCTCCAGTTAAGTAAGGCGGATGAGTTTAGCTTGTTTACTGGTTGGTAAGGAAAAACAATATGATCTCAGAAGGTTTCTTGCATGCTTTTGTGACTTGATGGAGCTCCTGATAGCAGATGGTGGAGTCATAAACACAGCGTGCCAAGTTTTCAAGCTGAGGTGAGCCCTATGATGTATCGTATTAGGTGTCTCACCCCCTACTGTTGACCGCCTAATAATATAGCTTAAAGTAAAAAAAAACAAAACAAGGGGAAGGCTGGTATAAGTCAATGAAAGAAGGACAGAGAGAAATGTTTTACAGTAGTTCAAATGAGTACAGTACAAAGTGCAAACAATAAGATGCTGTACAACATATAGGACTGAAACTTTGTCACTCATGGAAGAAAAGTAATCTGTAAGTACTGTAAATATTCACCTCAAACCCCCTCTTACACCACAGAAACCTGTTTCCAAGTTCATAATCTGATGATACGATATCTAGCTTTTATGTTTCACTGGTTTGTTTTACTGAATATTGATTATTAAAGGTTTCTTTGAAACACATCTTTGTAGTGTAACCAACTAAAATGAACTTTTCAGGTATTGTCTGACGTCTTAGTATTTATGAAATACAACTGTAGTTTTTTAGCACCACCAAGTGGCAGACCTACTTATGTACCATGTACAGTGATGATGTTTAATCATGCTCAAGCTCCAATCCTATTTAATTAACTTTCTGAATCAGACTAGGTAACACCTGTTGTTTAAGTTTGCCTATTTAAACACATTTTGTCGTATGAACGTTTAATGTACTGCTCACAAGGTAAAAATGTTCTTCCGACATTCATAACTAAACCCGTCCTGTCCTTTCAGAGTTTTGCCTTACAAGACGCAGACTGAGCTCAAGAATGAAGCTCCTGCTCGGTTTGGCTGTCCTGGTACTGACAGTGGGGGTCCTTTACTCTGCCCCAGAGGACCAACCAACAGGCATCTCAGAGGACACCTTGAGAGGTGAGATGGCAGAGAAAAAGTGTGCCATTTTGTACAAGTTAGTTAAAAGTTCATTTTTAGCAGCAGCCCCTCAGCAAATGTCTCTAAAATACAATCAGTATCAACAACAACTAACTGTTTTGCTTATTTCATTTAATCAGTGTGCAATGTTTTCATTTTGCCATATAAATCACATTGCAGTGGCTACATTTCCTGATCTGACTGTAAAAAATCTGGTAGTCATTGTATTAAACACATTTTTTCTCCTTCTCTCTCTCTAAGAGTTGTCCCAGAATGGCGAGAAACTGGTGGATGAGGAGGTGAGAAGAGCTCTGTATGGGGTGAAGCAGATGAAGGAGGTGATGTGGAGGAACGAGCAGAAGCACGAACACCTCATGAAGTCCCTCCAACACAGCAGCGAAAAGAAGAAGGTAAGACCAACATTAACCTTCCTGAAGAAAGACAGACAGAGGGAAAAGAAATTCAAGCAAACGAAAATGTCTCCTTTTCTGCCACCAGGGGGCAGCCCAACTGGCCAAGGAGGTGACTGAGAAGCTGGAGGAGGCGGAAGAGCAGTGTAAAGACTCCCTGCAGTCAGAGTGGGAGGAGTGCAGACCCTGTCTGGAAGATGCATGTAAAACCTTCTACACCTCCACTTGCCGCAGGGGATTCGCCACTTTCCATGCCAAGGTATGGAAACTACAGCTCCAGTCTCTGCCTTTCTTACTCCAACCTTCAAACATTTGTAGCAATATTTCCAAAAAGAAAATTTTATGGATGTTTTCTTTTTGGAATCAAATCCTCTGCCTTTGTTGGTGCTGTCTTCTCCCTGTTGACCAAGGTGTTTAGTTCAGTGACTAAAGTCCAAGTGGGGAGTAGATAAAGGAGGGAAATATGAGAATAAAGGAAAGGAGAAGAGAGGGGAGAAAAGCAAGGTCAAGGAAAGGCAGGAGAGAAGAGGAGGAAGAAAACTAAAGGAGCAGGACAGAGGGAAGACGGGAAGGGAGGAGAAAAATGGAGAGGAGGACAGGGGAAGAAGACAGGACAGGAATAGAGGACAAGGGAGAAGTACATATAGGAGGAAGAGAGAGGAGAGGACTGCGGAAGGAAGGACAAATGAATGTAAGGAGAAAACAAGAGAGGGGAGGGCAGGGAAAGGGGGTTAGGAAGGAGAGAAGGATACGAGACTAAAATCTCCTGTATGCATTTGTAATAAATGATGATTGTACATTTAATGATTCAACATGAGTGCACTTATCTAAATGTAAACCCCAGAATGTGCCTCTTCTTTTGCTACTTTTGCAGTTTGGGACCATAGCCTAATTGTGTTGCAGACTTTGTTTTTTTCCATTTTGAACCTGAGTGAAAATCTGGCAGCCCCCACTTTAGCAACCGGAGCCTTGAACAATAGTAAAATAAACGTACCCCCATAACTTTTCATACTGTAGGTGGAGAACTTATTCCGCAGAGTGTCCAGGCGATTTGGCCCCCGCGAGCCTCAAATGGATGCAGGGGACATCCTGGTGAATCAGGGCGCTGACAACACTGACACTGAGATTATCCGCATCAAGGATACCTTCGACCGCCTGGCCAGCAAGGTGGGAACGCTGGTGAACCGCAGCGTGGCCCTGGTCTCTGGGATGCGCAGAAGGCTTGACAAAGTCCTCCAGAGGGCCTTCCTGAACAACACAGACATCCTGATGGAGGAGACCACCTCAGACCCCTACAACCCCAGCCGGGACTCAGGCTTCCTGCAGGGTGTGGGATTAGAGGAGGTGCTGGACTCCTTCTTCGACTTCGGCAAGAGTGTGGTGGAGGAGTTTGGAGCTGTGGTGACCCAGGCGTTTGATGAACTCCATGAGGCAGTGGAGGAAGAGAAGAAGAAAGGTAGCGGCATGTCAGAAATATACTATAACTACTTATTTCTCTGCTTGTATGTGTGCATTTAGCTGCTGCTGCTGCCGCCATGATTGGTTGGAAGCCAAACCAATCTATTTGGCTTCAGTAGCACATTGTTGCTTTTCATGAATATTAACATGACAACAAACATCTTAACACAATGTAAATCAACAAAATACACTAATCTAATTGTTAAATATTTCTCTTTCTGGTGTAGTGAGGGAAGGTTTCCCTCGTTTCCTGCAGAACAGGAAGTTGTGCAGAGACCTTCGCAAACAGACCTCAGAGTGCTGGCAGCTGCAGAACCAGTGCGAGGCCTGCCAGGGAACCCTGCTCACAGGTGAAGTACCACCACCCTCACAGCTTGTGTTTACTTCAGCTGTACATCTTTACATACAGTAGCTCAACTGACCGCTCCTCCTCCGGTCCCCCCCCGACCAGAGTGCCCCAATGTTCGGGAGCTGCATGTGGAACTGGATGAGGTTTCCCAGCTGCTGGACGTGTCCAAAGAGCAGTATGATGAGATCTTGTCTATTGTCCAGCGCCACACTGACGAAACGGTCGAATGGCTTAGCAACATGGCGTCTGAATTCAGCTGGGTGGCTCAGTCTGTGAGCAACAGTGACGCTCCTGAAAACATCTTCCGCATCACCATGGTGAGGAGGAGGAGGGAAGGAAATGAAGCTGCAGAAGCTTTCCATTGCACCCTTAAATATTTAATGAAAGAATTTGGTCTAATAAATGAGCCAAACTTGAAAATCTTTACAAATTGCAAACCGATATAAATCCTAAAATATAAAATACACAAACATAGGCTAAGTGTAGCGAAACATTTTAGTCAACATCCAATAATAGAAGTTGACAACAGTTGGTGTAAGAGATGACTTCTTCCACTCTCCAGGTGGCGCCAAAGAGCCACGATGAACAGAATATGTCTGTGAGGGAGACAAACGTGGAGGTCCACATCCTGAACTCCCCCCCTCTTATCCTGTCTGTTCCTGGGGAGCTGGAGCTGCAGGACCCAGCCTTCGTCCAGTATGTAGCCCAGGAGGCTCTGAGCAAATACAAGGAGATGGTCAGGTGAGAACCTTTAATGACCTCCATTGTACCATGTAATAAGTAGTACCACAGGGTTGATGCCACCATGCGCAGGTGTCATCCATCATCCCTTTCCAATTGCTTTTCACTTCTGGTGTACATTTTCTTTGGAGAAAAAAAAATTAAATACTGAGTTTTGTATTTACTGTTATACAACTTAAAATTCTGACATTCTTTCTTTCTTTGCAGGTATGAGGATGACTAAATCTAGTCTGTTTTTCTGAGCTTCTACCAGCTTTTTCTTTAACAGAACTAGGATTGTGTTCCTGTATAGTAGCATAATCTCATTGAAATGTAAATGCACTACAATTGCACTGTGTCATTCATTGCTATTAATTGAATGTAAAAAGAAGAAAATATACTTCGTACCTGTTGTCAGATGGTATAAATAAAAACAAGTAAAAAAAAAAACAAACAAAGAGTGACATCATTCAGATGTGTTCCACAAGAGGAGCCTTGAATGATTTGCAAATGGGCTTCTTGGTGAGTTGTTCAAACCTGCACGAGGATCAATGTCAAGAACAAGAGTGCTAAAGGAAACCTTTCAGTAAAACCTTTATTTTTTTCTGTACAAAATCATATTAGTTACCATTCTCTTTAATTTCATTAGCATCTCCCCACTAGTTCAAGTCCCATGTTTAGGAACAATCACATATTAGGCTGTGAGTGACGCACAAAAAGAAACAGAAAAATGTTCACATCTTAGTCCAATTCTTAAGCTTACTTCGTGAATGCCAATAAGAGGATGCCTTTACATCTTCTCACATTTCCCCATGACATACCGGTGGACAGACTTTGGAAGTACCTCTAAGAACGTGTTATTAGACTTTTATATTCTCAATAACTATAAAAGCAAAAAGCCCATGACCTGACCACAGCGTGTACAAAGGTGTTTGTTTTGTCTGCTTCTAGTTACTTCACTCCAGAAGTGATCCATCATCTCTACAACGGGGGACTTCAAATCAGAAAACCATAAAGGGGAGCTTGACACAGGCAAATGCCATGAGAGACTCTTCATTTCATAAAACATCACCTGTTGACTTTGCATAGTTGCATTTACAAATTAAGAAATTCAATTTTATGCAATGTTGGTTTTGGATTAAAACTTTCCCTGCAGCACACACAGAACTAAAGACATTGAAGGCATGTTTAGTCACAGGTCGGTGGGATTTACTGAGAAAAGAAAGAAATCCTAGAACTGCATGTATTTACATGATGTATACATGAATGAATTTAACAATAGTTTCCTGGAGTATCTATCATGGGATGAGTTGTCTACTGCAATGTTACACTATGTAGATGTGTGCAATATAAGGAGAAACATTATTTTACAGCAATCAAGAGTTGTGCACAGAACAAATGACAAGATGCTAATTTCAGACAGAAATGAAATGAACTCAATCATACTTAAATTTCACAGCTGAAATGTCCATTTCAAAACATTAAACAGGAAAAATGTTTTTGCACTTATAATGAAAATACCACTTTATGATTTCAAGTCCCTGTTTAAATGAAAAAAAAGAAAGAAGAAAAAGCATAATAAATCAGCGTGATTTGCCATTCAAGTGACCGTGTTTAAAAGAATCATACAAATCACTTCTCATGTTCTCATTCATCCCCCTGATCACACCTGCTAAAAACACATCTCTTTGCACATACTGTATGTACATCTGCTTTGATCTCTCAGTACATTCTTGCATCCATAAAGAACACCCCTTTTTCTTTTACTTCTCCTCGCCATCAAAGCTTAACAGTCACAGCACATATTTGACAATTCAGCCACAGTTGTCAGGTCACTCAGAAAACATACTTATCAACCTACATATTCAAACCAAACTCATGTACATGTAAAGATCTTGACTTCAATATCAAAGAATTCTGTTGTAAAATAAAAAAAGGGGGAACATTGGAGGAGAGAGGGGAAATTGATCATCTAAAAAAGTTCTAAAAAAACTGTGCATCTGCAAGAAGTCATTGATCTGAAATCGGATCCCTCTCTTTTTGATCACAGTGTTGTGGCCATATAGATTATTATTCTGATTAACAGGGTTCCCAGAGCTTAACGTACCAGCACCAATCTGCTCAGCTGGACACTCCCCTCCCACCCCAAACATTTGGTCCCTGGGTACACAAGGGACAAACCACTACTTCAGGAAACATTTTCTTCTTGCACTTACAGATATACCAGTGTGGTTGTGGATTAGTTTGTAGCATTAAAACCTCTTTCTCTTCAGCCTCATCAAGGCTTTTCCCATTTGTTAAAGTTCTCTGTTGTCCCAAGCTTTGATCTCCGCTGATGTACCTCTTTATGACGCCAGAGTTTGGCCCCATATCCCCCATCAAATCCCCCATACTAGAGGTTGTCTCCTGGTTGGTACTGTGGCTCTGTGGCTGTGAAGTAGTCTTCCAAAAAGGACTGGATGTATTCGAAGGTCGGCCTTTCATCTGGCTCCTTCTTCCAGCACTGCCTCATCATCTCATGGAGGGACTCGGGGCAGCCTTGGGGGCAGGGCATGCGGTAACCTCGTTCTACCTGCTCAAGTACCTCTCGATTAACCATACCTGGGGGAAAAAAACCCACATAGAAATATGATGTAAAGTAACTGCATTTATACTGCCCTTTCTATCGAAAATGATTTCCAAATAGCCTCATTCACACACAAATTGGGCTTTTCCTTCTTGCTAAAGGACACTTTCAAGTAATTTAACCTCAGTACATACATTGTATCATAACTAATAGGCTTGTTTTTATGTGTATTTTGTTTTGTAGCTATTTTTTTAAAAACAGAACAGTCCTCATATGTAACAAGACGGAAATTGACCAATCAAAAGGTAAGGAAACATAATCATGGGGATTGTCAACATATATGGCTTTATGGGTAGAGTGTAATTTCAGTTTAGCTCCAGTCAAAATTGGCAAAACATTGTGTTCTAAGACTTTCTCTATGTACACAAAAGGCCTATTTCTCTCAAATATTGTTCACAAATCTGTCAGAATCTGTGTTAGTGAGCACTTCTCCTTTGCCGAGATAATCCATCCACCTCACAGGTGTGGCATATCAAGATGCTGATCAGACAGCACGGGTATTGCACAGGTGTGCCACTTGAAAATGGGATGCAATGTGACTATGTCCTCTGTGGGTCAGCGGAAGTTATTTGAGTGAACCTCTGACAAGTAGATTTTCCTAAAGTTTTCTGGTCAAGAAAAATGCTGTAAGTTTTGATAAGAAATAACCCAGTTTGCAGCCCGAAGCTGTAGAAAATGTTGGCATCATGCACCTGACAGCAGGAGAAAAATGCCCACGCAAACCACAGTGTTAAAGAAAAAAGATAAAGGAACGGGTCATTATTTCCTGGAAGACTGTAAGTCAATTTCGAGGTTAACATACAGGGAGAAAAAAAAATAATTTCTAGAAATACGTTATAATTAGGAATGTAAGACTTCCCAGCAATCTTAACTACTTGCATCCTCTAAATGACAAAAAAAAATTGTTTAAATCTAATGGAAGATTACCAGTTTCTTAATCATCAACTGCAGCAATTTCAAGCAAAAACCAAACAGTGCAGCTTCATCTTCTGGTGTCAGCTGTGGATTTCCTTCCCATAGACAGTGATCCTGAACCCCATGACACGGCGCAGAAACAGCTCCGTGAGGAGCTCAACTGCAGCTAAAAGAGGTTATGACACATCTCTCTGTGGGAGAGCGGGGATCAGGTTATCTCACTCTTGGAGAGAGGAAAGGCCCAGAGCAGCTGCTGAGACCATGATACGGTGGCGGGGGTTGAGGTGCTGAGGTGTTAGAGTGATTTATGTTTTGGATCTGAAAACCTCCACTAATAAAGTGCCTGTCATATATATATATATATATATATATATATATAAACCCACAAAGAAATATGATGTAAAGTAACTGCATTTATACTGCCCTTTCTATCAAAAATGATTTCCAAATAGCCTCATTCACACACAAATTGGGCTTTACCTTCTTGCTAAAGGACACACACACACACACACATATATATATATATAGTGAGTATACATGTATCTTTATACACACACAGACTAAAATAGAGAAATGATGATGCAGACGCTTGGTATGTGGTCTGTATCTGCCGCATACTGCTTCTATGCTATCGAGCAAGAGAATAGAAGTAGAGCTCCCCAAAAAGACTGCAGCACAGCTGGACATGAGCCACAAATGTCCGGTGAGTCATACAGTTTTGAGAGGGGAAAAGAGGGGGTTCAGCCCTCAGAGTTTGCAGCTCTGAGGCCGCCGCATGGTTTACACTGAAACAAATGGCCACAGGAGCCAGATGGCCCACAACAGGAGATGGTGGTGAAGCCTGCCATATGGCAAGCTCTGTAATCAGTGCCAGTCAGACACAGTCAACACCAGACACACTGCAGTGCTGCTCTCAGGCAGTAGGGGTCAGAAATGAGGCAGCAGACCACAGAAAGAAAGAAGGAGTGATGGTGCTTTCCCAAGCACTGACAGTCACAACACATCTGTGTTGACTCATATCAGATTTCATCTGTTCTGATCTGCAGTGTGAGAAGAACTATTAAATGAATCAGAGTAGCATGTTGGAAATATCCAGGGGCAAAAATTAATTAATTCTTCCTGTTTTCCATGAAGGAAACTTCAAAATACTCCATTCATATTCTTTGGGAGAAACATGGGGAACTTCAGACAAGAGATTCAGAAAATGTAAAATGAAAAGGAACAACGGAATATATCAAAACACATTTCTGACCACCACATATCTGTGTAGCCCTCATCCCTACCTGGGTACGGCACTCTGCCCTTGGTCACCAGTTCAGTCAGTAGTATACCAAACGACCAGACGTCAGATTTGATAGTGAAGCGGCCGTACAGAGCAGCTTCGGGGGCCGTCCACTTGATGGGGAATTTAGCACCTGAAAAAAAGAAGCATAGTTTAGTCTTTCAATTTGTGGAGTAAAAAAAAAGAAAACGCAGCAAATCTCCAACAACTGATTTCTGAAACCAGTTCAGCATTTTTTGCTTGACAAAAAAAATGACAGAAGACGTTGAACTTTCTGTTGATTGACTAATAGATTTATCAACAAATACGAGTAAAACATTGTGGCCTAAATAGACAGAACGTATGATGAAATGAATGAGCGTCAGTTCGGGCTCTTGTGCTTCAGTTCAAGTAAGCATAGAGGGGTAGTACAGCTGCACATAACAATCATTGTCATTATGAATTAATCTGCTGACTATATTTTGGATTACTCAATCAATCAACAGTTTGGTCCACAAAATGTGAGTAAATAGTAAAAAAAAAAAAAAACAAGTTCCTCATTCCCAACATGAAATATTCAAAGTGCTTTATCTGTCCTACCAACAGTAAAGATAATCAGTGTACCGTCACATACGATGAGGATAAACA